ATGGATGCGGCCCACTTTTGTATATGATATAAACAATGTGATCACTAAATTGTACATGTGGAGACATGTGAGTGGGGGCGTCCTATGCAATGAGTATTGCATAAGATCGGACCATGAAGAAAGCCACTCTCACTTTATAATGTCGTTTACTGTTGAGACTGATTTTCTTTTCATTCGATAACCTAGGTAATTCTGTTTAAATCCTCAGCTAACCATGAACTCCTGTTTATTCGGAATTATCCTTAGATTTGCACGGGTGAGAGTGGCTCTAGTTCGCCGACTCAATAGACCTCCCATTTCAGGGGTAAGACTGGGTGAATGGCTGGGGACGTGGGGTGCAAGACGGAATTCACTCCTACCCACTTTTAGGGATAGAAGAAAGATAGTTCTCTTAAGCACTGACTTCAGGTCTTGAACAAGGGGTCCCACCCTCTCATTGGCCTGAGATGAGAGGGATTCGATTTACTGGTTGGACCACAAACCAATTGTTCATTAGAGGATCAGTGAGACATAAGGAACAAGAAGTAAGTTTAGGGGTAAAACGATAAATTGATCCAGCTCTAGTTACGAACAACCTGTGAAGGATCGACTTACTAATCATGGTTATATCAAATGGACAGAAATATATCTATAGTGAGGGGAGTGCAACTATTAGGCTATAGTGGAGTGTCCTAGTAGTTAACGAATGTTGGTTAACAAGGTTAATGAGTTCAGCCGGTTAATCTTGGATCGTTGGAGCCCATGATCTATAGGTCCATTAGGTCCCTCTGCTAGCTCATATCGGACTAAACCATAGAACAATGTGACGAGTGAGTTCGAAGTGTTCGAATTCAAATTAGGGAATATGCGCTACATATATACGATATATTTAACCACATTTTTGTTTTATTTACGAATTAAACAAAAAGAGAGAATCTGAGATATTTAAATAAGATTTAAATATCTTAATCAATTATGTGTCGGAATTGATTGCGATTGACATTTGAATTAATATTAAATATTAATTAAATAGTTTAATTAATCATTTAATGTTACTTTAATTTGAAATTCATTATTCAAATTAATTGTTGAATTAAAATGAAGAAAGTCAAAATGTTGACTTCATTTAATGGAAAAATCCATGTTAGTGGAATTTTGAGGTGTTAAAATTTGGTTTAACCAAACTTGCATGCTTGCCAAATAAACCCCAGAAGTTTGAGTGGAATTTTGAGTGTCAAAATTTGGTTAACTCAAACATGCATGCTTGCCACATAATCCCAAACATTTGAGTGGAATTTTAAGTGTCAAAATTTGGTGATCTCAAATTTGCATGAACATGCAAACATGGCTCTTTAAATAGAGTGATCATGGTACATGGAAGGTCTTCTTCTTCTTGGTGAAAAACCTTGAGAAAAACCTCTCACAAACACTCTCTTCACATATACAAAATCCCTCCCAAGTTTAGTCACTCACCGGATTCCACAATCCCGTTCTAAGGCCGGAGGATAGTGGAGAAGACACTAGTGGTGGTTCGAAACCGGTTCGTGAGGAAAAAGGAGCTTGAAATACAAAAGGTTAGTATCTAAACTCATTAAGTTTTAATACTTATGAACATGCTAGTTATTTAATATAATTGATGTTCTAAAAGTGCCTGAGATCCAAATTGCTTCCGCATGTGTTATATTAACACCATCACGCTCATGTACGGTTGACGGTGGCATCGTGATCAAAGGTTGTGGCGCGTGTATAGGATAGTTGCATATTTAAAATTCCTTGTCTTGGTTAGGATAGGATGTTTGCATTTCATTTATTTAAATTATTTAACTTGTAATTTTTTTTATCTTATTTTGAACTCGAGCATGATGTTTGAAACACGCAAGTTCGGCAGTGTTTTCTAATGTTTTAACGTATTCTGAAGTTTTAAATTTTTTCGCTAATAAAGATGAGCATTCTTAGAGTTATATTCTGCATTAGAGATGAGCATGAGACATTAGTGGCGACTCTAGATATGTGGAAATTTAGGGTCGTTACACTATCATATAGTAAGGCTAATTACTTGGTTGGTCTTAGCTGGCGCTTCTCTACTTTCGAATTTGCTAAGCTTTCGTTCCTTGAAGTTGCTCCAAACGTTACCGGTTGTCGTGTCCTATTATAGTGTCCATTTCATTTCATTAACATTTCACATTTATAAAGTAGTTTAACTTGAATGGATTAAACAGTGCATCATACTGGCCTTATTTATCTTAATCATGGTCAAATCAACTATGGGAGGGTAAAAAACATAAGGGTCGGTATCAGAATTACCAAGCCGAGCGTTTTAAGCCTAAGGATTATGCGCAGCCAAGCTGAGCTATGAAGCCGAGAGGTTCTTTTTGCTGCAAGTTGACGCGTGGCGCAATAAGGCGCAGACGCGTGTGCAGGCTAAATTTGGGTCAAGGCGCGGTCAAGTGTCGATTGCTGGGTCGCGGCGTGGGTGCTGGGCTGCTGTAGATGGGTCTTAGGTAATTGGGCTTCGCCATGGACTGTCAGGTTTTGGGCTGCAGGCATTGCGGGTTGGATAGGCAGACATGGGATCACGGGTGTTGGGCTGCTGAGTTAGGTTGCAACGTTGGGTTGGGTTGGCTATTATAATTGGGTCGTGAGCGTGTGTTGGGTCGAACCAATGGATTGGTAGTGGGTTGTGGGTTTGAGTCTGACCAAGATCCGGATTCGGATATGGATCGACTGATTCGTCTTCTTCGCCCGACTCAACGCTATTAATGGTTTTCTTCTCTCTCCTCCTCCCTGCGGCTATTTCCAAAGTTCTTTCTTATCGTTTTCCTCTTCTAACTCTTTGTTGGACTCTCTACTTCTCTTCCACGAAGCCTCGTTGCTTGTAGATGCCTAAAACGACAGACCTATGAGCTTCTTAAAACCTAAAAATTGAATCTAGTTTCCGATGACACGCGACGTTATTCAAACATATATAGGTTACCTCTCGTGTATGTGGGATCGTCGGTGATCTTTTTCATGTCGTGAACCAAGCGTTTCATTGTCTGGTTTGGTTGTTGTAGGTGTGAGTTCGTGGTTTTGGATTGTTAGGTTATGAAGTCTGCTATTTATTTCTAGCTTAGTCAACGATTATACATAGTAAAATTATATACTATGACATATAAAGTTAATTGTCATAAATAGTAAATAGGTTTGTATACTAGAAAACTATATACGGTAAAGCTATGGTAGATAGTTATATACAGTAGATGCTATATATGATAAATAAACTAAACTATATATATCCCTTAGGTATAGAGTTGAAAATGTACTTTTCTGTATTCTTTCCTACCGTACATACCTAAAGTCATCAATACAAATTCTTTAGCCATGAGTTCTCCTTGCATTTTCTCTTTCTTTTTCTTTGTGTTCATCTAGATTGATTGTGTGCGTTGTAGTGCGATCTTAACAACTGGTATCAGAGTTAGACAAAATTTACCACGATCTGTGAAGATAGAAAGTTCACAGACTGGAATTGAGAAGTTCGATGGACTCGATTTTGGTTTATGGAAGATGGAGATTGAAGATTATCTTTACCAGAAAGATCTTCACGAACCCTGGTGGGGGTAAAGCCGAATACCATGACCACGAAGCAGTGGAAGCTCAAGGATCGATAAGCCTTAGGGTTGATTCGGTTGATGTTATCCAGAAATGTGGCGTTCAACATCCTCAAGAAGAAGACAACGTCAGTGTTAAAATATGATTTGGATGCTAATTATATGGTTGAAGTTGTATCTTTTTTCAACTAGTCGAAGCTACCCTAAAAAGAACTAAAAATTATCACACACACTCTAACCAACTAAGCTACTCTAGCAAGTTATTTATAATTGAGAGCCCACCATTAGTAAATGTTGTCTGCTTTAGCTCGTTACATATCGCCATCAGTCTCACCGTTTTAAAATGCATCTACTATAGAGAGATTTTCCAGCATCCTCGCAGGTAGTCTATTAGGGAGAGATTTCCACACCCTTGTAAGAAATGTTTCATCTTCTCTCCAACTGACCTGGGATCTCACATTCCACCTCTTGGGGGCCAGCATCTTCGTTGGTACACCGCTTGGTGACTAGCTTTGGTACCATTTGTAACAGCTCAGGCCCACCGCTAGTCAATATTGTCCACTTTGGCGCATTACGTATCACCATCAGCCTATGACCATCACTTTAGCATGCATCGTCAACATCAACACATCGTAAAACATCATCATACATCATACGTCCTATATCATAATCATAAAGCATAAAGGACACGTGCTAGTGCAACTAGGCATACATCAAACAATTGCCTAGACTATCCTATAGTAAGGCCCGCAAACTTGAAGATATGTGACATGTGTGTTATTTGGAGTCAAAAGTGAATCCAAAGGTTATAGAATGCTTTCGAAGAAGATCGTGAATGACATTGAATTTTTTTTTTTTTTTTTGAAGGTGAAACAAAATTGGACTATGAAAGAATGAGAAATACAATTCAACCAGTTGCTAAAAATAGATTTTCAGTAGTGGTTGTCCCACATCTGACAGTAAGTGTGTAGTTTTTTTAAGTGTTGATTCTTGAACTATGAGACCTTACCCTCTCACGGACCTGAGAGGTACTTAATTTATGATGTATCGTAAACAACATTTTCATTAGAGGATCAAAAGTAATTAAGGTATATTTATATAATTATAAATAATGTATTAATTTTTATATAAACAATTAAATTTGTTTATATTCTAATTTATAAATAATGTATTAATTTTTTATACTTTAATAAATTTTTTATTAGTTTTAATAAATATATGAATTTTAATTTAACCTTCCAAATAAGTCCACAAAATTTTAAATTAAGTTTTAGGCTTATTTCATAATTTTTAAAATTCAATTTATATCAAATAAATGTATTAATTATTCCAAAATACAAAATTGTATTTGAAAAAAAAAAAACCCCGGTTTTGTTTTAGTATTTGAAAAAAATCGGATCGGTTTTCTGTTTTGTAAAAAACCCAGATAAAACCGGTCTGACATTCACTCAGTCCATTACTTCATACTAGTCCTCGTCTCTGGATCTGGCGAGCAGCGGCAGCCGAAAGCCACAAAACCCTCTCCGGCCGTCGTATTTTTCTTTGCAATCTCATCTCTTTGAGGTAACATTCTCTAATTTTCTTTCCCTTCGATTTCTTCATTGCAAGTGTAGATTCTTATGCTTTCGACTTCATGGTTGTGATTTCTGTGAACTTACATTTCGTTTTGATTATATGAAGAAACTCAAATACCTTGAATCATGGCTATGAAATCCGCGGCCTCGGCTGCTCTTCGGGGCCTCAGGAGTTTCTCTTCCAGAAGTTCTATTTCAGCTCCGATCAATAAGGAGCCCACCTCCGACCTCTTAGTTTCTGGTAAGTCCTTCTTCTCAGTTCTACGGCTTTCTTTGTGTTTACTTTCTTCGTCTTTTGATTTTGACTTCAAAGATTTCATTCTGGTTGGAATGTTTGTCTATTGTGAAGCGTATTGTGATTTGATTGCTACCTTTTTATTCTCTGGATCGCAGAATGTTAATGTACATTTTTGGTTTTTGTTACTTTCTTCATTTGTTACGTCCGAAGTACTGAATCTCTGGTGTAATTCTGAACTCTGAAAGGGTTTTATTGATTGATTGATTGATTGGTTGGTTCTCGTCAATTAATGGTTTCATCTTCTAAGGAAATTGAACGCTTTTGTTTTGTTGTTTGGGTTAAATTCTTTTTTCCATTGGGAGAAAATGCTAAGCTTTTGACTGTTATACTTGGAAAGGGGTTTTAGAATGTTCCATGCGCTGGGGAAGCAACAAGGCCAGGTGGTAACTTGGCTATATAAAGAAGAACACAACTGTAATTTGGAGCCTTTTTGTGTAACTTTTGTTTTCTTCCAAGGAAACAGAATTTTCTCTGAAGAAAGTTGTACAAGGTTCCCAAAAGAAGCAAATAAAAAACCAATCTAGAGCCGAAAACTTACAAGAAAAACTATGTAACATCCCAAACCCACTGCTAGTAAATATTGTCCGCTTTGGCCCGTTATGTATCGTCAACCTCACAATTTTTAAACGTGTCTACTAGGAAGAAGTTTCCATGCCCTTGTAAGAAATGTTTCGTTCTCCTCTCCGACTGACGTGGGATCTCACAATCCACTCCCCTTGGGGCCCAAGGTCCTCGCTGGCACACCGCCTGGTGTCCGGCTCTAATACCATTTGTAACAGCCCAAGCTCACTGCTAGCAGATATTGTCCGCTTTGGCCCATTACGTATCGCCGTTAGCCTCATGGTTTTTAAAATGCGTCTACTAAGGAGAGGTTTCTACACCCTTGTAAGGAATGTTTCATTCCCCTCTCTCATCGATGTGGGATTTCGCAAAGTCAAACCATCCAACAGACATATTGATATCCATACAAACCAAACACAAACCAAACACAAACCAAACGAAACAGAAAAAGGACATCCCCTGTCACCCACAAAGTGTCGCACAAAGCTTAACCATCATACTCTTGCCACATTTTAAAAAGGAAACTTGCAAAAGCTAATCGCTAATCTTTCTCTCCTTCACCAATGGATAACAACAATCTCCAGTTTCCATATCAACATCTTCTAACTAAACTGCAGAAAATATTGAGACACCTCCGACCCGAGGCTACAGCATCATAGTGTAAGCCATTGCAAACTACAGTGAAGCTAGTAGAGAGGATTACCATGTCTTTGAAGCTGAATAGCATTATCTTCTAACTGAAGCCTACAAAACCTTCTGCACTTCGTTTTTTTTTTCTCTTCTTAACTAAGAAACTATGCATACAATCAAACAAAAGGTGGAACAAATCAGTCTAGGTGTAGTGGGGCCTTCCAATTGTTATTAATAAGCACATCTCTTGTTAATAATAACTTTCCTACTCGTGCTCATTTTGGTTCTTTTTGTAATGGTGTTAAGCTCGACTCTCGTGGATGTGCTCAAACCATCGGAAATTCTTTAGAGCTCTCTAACTGTCTACACTTGCTTTTCAATCAGCAGCCTTTTCTCTTCTTATTAATCACCCGATCTAAAACAAGGCTGATGTTATTTGGCTCAACTTTATTTGGAACTTTCAATGATGCACTTGGATTGGAAGAAACCAATTAATATTTGTGGGAGAAGACCAAAATTTCTCTTCTTTTATGGATGTAGGCTTAACAATCTCTTGTAACTACTTATTTTCTGGTTTTTTGGCTAATTGGAGAGCTTTTCTGTAATCTTCTTTAACTTTGGGGGCTAGTATTTTCCCCTCTCTTTTGTATATTCATTGTTCTAATGTAATGTCATGTTTCCAATAAAAAAGAATAATACTGCAGATCCCATCCATAAGCCTTGATCACTTAAAAATTACTAAAATACTCTTATTGTTGTGACAATCTTGACTCGAAGCTTGAAGACAAGACAATCTCCAACTTAACGACCACCAATTGAGAATCAACCTAGCTTCCTTTCCATGCATCTTCAAAATTTTGGAATTGTGAAATCCCACATCGATTGGAGAGGGGAAGGAAGCATTCCTTATAAGAGTGTGGAAGTCTCTCCCTAGTGGACACAGTAACAAGCCAAAGCAGACAATATCTGCTAACGGTGGGCTTGGGCTATTACAAATGGTATCACAGTCTAACACCGAGCAGTGTGCCAACGAGGATGTTGGGCCCACAAGGTGGTGGATTGTGAGATCCCACATCGGTTGGAAAGGGGAAGGAAGCATTCCTTATATGGGTGTGGAAACCTCTCCCTAGTAGACGCGTTTTAAAATCGTGAAGCTAACGACGATACATAATGGGCCAAAGCAGACAATATCTGCTAGCGATAGGTTTTGGGCTGTTTCAGTAATTGCATTACCTTCCATCTATTTCCTCTTAGGACCACAACAAAGCTCACTCTAATGTCACAACTTAACGATCTTTGACACTACACTCGAGATAATCAAAACTCCGAAAGCTAAGCCCTTAAAAACTCAAGAGAACATCCCACCATCTGCAACCATGCTTCTCCTCTTCATTTCTAATCTTTCCTTTTTTTTTTTCTGGCTTTTCTTTTCCATCTTTTTGTTCATCTAAACCAAACCCTTTCATACAAACTATCTGAACCAGCTGAATATGGATGCTAATAATTCTAAATCAAAACTTGAATCTGTTTATCATCTGCATCACTCTTAAAAAAAAAAAAAAATAAGACGACTATTCATTCAGCTTCTTGGACCTTAGCCACCTAACCTTCCACATAAGAAATTTCATTAGCAAAGAACCTGTAAAATGGACCTTTACTTCGTTGACCACTTCCTTTGATCAAAGCAAGGCACCTAAGCGGGACTCTTCATCCTTTCAATATACAGCTTCTGCAAAAACTTTTTCTGTTTTTGGTGGCTCCTTTTCTTTAGGTTAGTCTCTGTTTCCATATTGTCTTTTGTACGAATTGTCCTTAGAAAATAATAATAATGATGATTGTAAATGTGGATGACAATATATATGAAATGAATTATGCTTAGCCTAATGTTTTTGGAGAAGATAGCTATAACAGCCAAAACCCACTGCTAGCAGATATTGTTTTATTTGGATCTTCCCTTCCAGGTTTCCCCTCAAAGTTTTAAAACGCGTCTGCTAGGAAGAGCTTTCCACACCCTTATAAGGAATTCTTCGTTCCCCTCTCCAACCGATGTAGGATCTCACAATAGCTATATACAAATTAATACTAATTCTTGAGATAATATGGCTTTGGATTCTTGCAATGATTTAAAGTATGACTTGGCATACATCACCCTCAAGCAAGAGAATTGTGCTTCACCTCTTTATGTGAGGTGCACACCTGGTGCCTTTTAGCCATGGATTTTTTAGGGGTCTTTGGCCAAAAATTGTTGGGTTCTGGTTTCATGAAACAAAGTCTAACCATCTCCCGATAAGAACCTTCATTTCCTAAACTTTCTGTTATGATTTTTTTTCATTTTTTAACTTCTTTGTATACGGTTTAAACCATGTACTTACAGAAGTGCCCATATTTTATGCATAAGTTGCTTTTGATCTAACTTTTGGTAAAATGTTTTACTCAAAAACTTATCCATAATATCATTAAAAGTATAAGGACTAAGTCGATGCAAATAAGAAAGAAAAACCAAAAGTAAAGGGATCCCTCCAAGTTAACGCTAGCAAGAAAAGTCCCCATGGAAGAACAACAAAAACAGCAACCCATCCACTTTCAACAATTAATTGAACATTACCCAAAAAAAAAAAAAAAAAATTGATTACATTGTAGAATAAAAATTGTAAGTTGACCGCCAGCAGATATTGTCCTCGTTGGGTTTTTCCTTCCAAACTTTGTCTCAAGGTTTTTAAAACGTGTATGCTAGGGAGAGGTTTCCACACCTTTATAAAGAATGTTTCGTTCCCCTCTCTAACCAATGTGGGATCTCACAATCTACCCCTTCAGGGTTCAGCATCCTCGCTGGCACACCACCCGGTGTCCACTCCCTTTAGAGCTCAGCATCCTCGCTGGCACACCACCCGGTGTTCACCCCCATTTAGCGCTCAACATCCTCGTTGGCACACTGCTCGATATTTGGCTCTGATATCATTTGTAACAGCCTAAGCCCACCGCTAGCCGATATTGTCCTCTTTGGGCTTTTTCTCAAGGTTTTTAAAGCGTGTATGCTAGGGAGAGGTTTTCACACCCAGAATGCTTCATTTCCCTTCCCAACCGACGTGGGTCACAAAAATGGACTTGACAGAGGACACAAAAAAGATGCTTTAACTCTTTGCGAAGCCCCATCTAACAATTCATTGAAGCTTGTTTTTTTTTTTTTTTCTTTGGTTCCTTTCAGACCAAATACTCCAAGAATAGCTTTGGCCGCATTTCTTTATCATAGTTTAGCTTTTTTCTTCAACTTCGCAGCACATAATTAGAAATTGTTCTCAAGCTTTTATCAAACACCCATGCCAAAATGAAAGTCTCGAAAAGCTGTTCTCAAATCTTACCATTGTAAGGACAGTGAATGGGTTAGTGAAATTAATCTTCACCTGCTACAAACAGTGGCTGAACTGAGCTATTCAACGTCAAAGCAAGGTACTTCCAACTCAATGTTGTCCTCTGTGTTAAGTTTACTCAAATAAGCTAGTTTTTGGAACAGAAAAGACCGATAATTATATATATATATTTTTTTTCTTTTGCTTTCAATTATTATCATTGCTACATGATCACCTGAAGAATGAAGAAACCTGGACAGATGAGAGATTACTGAAGAATGTTTTCTTCTAGTGTCATTATGTTAAGATTACTTTTACGTCATTCTTATCAGATATAGCTGGGACATATGGTCGGACATTACGTGAACGAATGACAAATTACATGGCTACCCTTGACATCAATTCACAAATTGGAAGCTGTATGCCACTTTCTGCTATGCGCATTGGTACGATTATCCACAACATCGAGATGAATCCAGGTCAAGGTGGGAAGCTCGTGCGGGCAGCAGGAACATGTGCAAAGATATTAAAAGAGCCAACGTCAAGATACTGCCTGGTGAGACTCCCATCAGGTACAGAGAAGTTGATTGACTCTAAGTGCAGGGCGACAATCGGTCAGGTGTCTAACCCAAGCCATGGAACCCGAAAACTGAGAAAGGCAGGGCAAAGCCGGTGGTTGGGTCGACGACCAGTGGTTCGAGGAGTGGCGATGAACCCGGTGGATCATCCTCATGGAGGAGGTGAGGGTAGGAGCAAGAGTAGTGGGAGCTTTGGGAAGGGGTCTCGCACACCCTGGGGGAAGCCAACTAAGTGTGGTTACAAGACTGGACCTCTCAAACGCAAAAAATAGAGCAACCAGTTGTTGGAGAGGATAGTGTGAAATGTTCTCTTTTTAGGCTTTTTGTAATTTGTACTTTTGTTTAGAACAAAAGAATATTGCTTAACTTTAAAAATTTTCGATAATATCTTTAAATATAATAAAAAAAAATAAAAAATATATTTATCGTTAGTATCCTCATTTTAATTTGAAAATAACACTTGCAATTTTTACATACCAAAAAAAAAAAAAAACCATTAATCACCAAATTTAAAAGAGTTAACAACAATATTATTTTAAATGGTAACCTATCTTAGATTGTAACCGATTTAATGGATCGTAATAAAAATAGTAACCTATCTTAGATTATAACTGATTTAATCACATAATAAATAAATTGATTCTACCGTTACAAATGTGATAATACACATACTTTGGTTCTTCTCTCGTACTTTTTGTAACGACCCTATTTCTCTATTAAAAATAAGGTTGTCACTGCATGACATGATTAACATGTGCGGAAACATTCATTTAAAATATTTTGTAACATGTGTCATAGGCTTAACATTCTTAAAATAAAAATATATATAAAATAAATAAATAAATAAAAATCTTTAAAGTAACAATGTCGGGTGGAGTATAAATGACGTGAGCTTAAATAAAATTATGGAGAGACCTATCATTTTATAAACACATCAAGACATGACCTTAAACTCCTTTTCAATCCCGACAAGGCTGGATGTGTAGTATTTCTCTATATAATGTCTACGCATGGGCACATAGACCCACTAGGCAGGCTCGTATACATACCCTTAGGTCTAGCTCATCAGGTTAGTGCACCCTCACGCTACCGAACTCCACGGAGGGAAAGAACCCGCAGAACATCATGGCGAACATAAATTTTGTAAGATATGCATTCGTACTAATCATAATGGGGAAGTCCCTCGATGCATATAATACAAAAAAAATTACATGAGGTCTCCATAGCTTAAAATTATGGCATAAGTTATGATGCAAGTCAAACATTTATTCATTAATGACATAACGAACCTAAGAATCATGCATACTTAATTCCTCACAAATCTTTTGTACTTAACATAGCTTACATGGCTGGTGTATGGAGGTTTATGCATCACGAATTATCTATATCATAAACAAAATTCTACAACACGATATAATCCTATTATAGCATAGGTTATAAACATGATATAGCACAATATAGCATAACATAGCATAACATATCATAACAATCATAATAATAACACATGCAGGGACCACGAAGCATGCATCATCATACAATCTACAATTCGTCCAACCAAGCCAACAGTAGAGCCACTTACGTAGCTGCCTAACCTAAAGTCATTATACTTCCTTAATGCTAGCTCGAATTTGCCGGGATTTAAATTTTGAAGAAAATAAAAGTCAAGATGGTTGAGTAGTCTAAGGTTAACAAGATAGTTATCCAATTAGAAATTGATAACAACTTATACCCAAAACCTTTTCATCTCTGTGTGGGCTAATAATTCATGAACTCTATGGATACGTTTTTTCTACGACCAAAAGAACGCATAAACCAACTCAACTTAATAAGTTATTTATATATTCGAGCTCAACTAATGAATTCTTTTTAACACGCTACGTATTAATAAACCAACTCAACTTATTAAGTTATTTATATATTCGAGCTCAACTAATGAATTCTTTTTAACACGCTACTTACTAACGTATCAATTGAAAGGTTCCCCCCCCCCCTCCCCCGGTAGTGTTTCATGTATTTCAACAACTACTAGACAATTCCATTAGAAGGTAGTAGACTACGGGTTTTAGTCCTCATAATGCATAGAGATAATGACATCCTCGTTTTCTATCTCATCAACAATGTTTTCATTGAGAGTATCTTCAAGGGATTAAGCTACTACGATCTACAATGGTTTTTAAAATGTTATATATTTACTATTAGGTCTTGGTTATAGGTTAGGATGACCGAGTGGTCTAAGGCGCCAGATTCAAGTTCTGGTCCTTGTGAGAGGGCGTGGATTCAAATCCCACTTTTGACATTACATTATTAACACCTTATAAAACCTTTATGCAATAACTGTGATGTTCATTATAGTCATCATTTTTAAAACGTGTTTACTAGAGAGCCCAACGTCCTGTGTTTACTAGGAGGTTCCCGACTTTACTAGGGAACCTTCTACTAGGAGGTTCCAGAATGCTTTGTGTCTACTAGGAGGTTCCCGACTTTACTAGGGAGCCTTCAACTAGGAGGTTCCAGAATGCTTTGTGTCTACTAGGAGGTTCCCGACTTTACTAGGGAGCCTTCTTCAACTAGGAGGTTCCAGAATGCTTTGTGTCTACTAGGAGGTTCCCGACTTTACTAGGGAGCCTTCTACTAGGAGGTTCCAGAATGCTTTGTGTCTACTAGGAGGTTCCCGACTTTACTAGGGAGCCTTCTACTAGGAGGTTCCAGAATGCTTTGTGTCTACTAGGAGGTTCCAGACTTTACTAGGGAGCCCTCTATTAGGAGATTCCAGGCTCTTATAAGGAATGCTTTGTGTCTAATGGGAGTTCTAGACTCTACTAGGGAGCCCTCTATTAGGAGGTTCCAGACTCTTATAAGGAATGCTTTGTGTCTCTTGGGAGTTCCAGACTCTACTAGGGAGCCCTCTATTAGGAGGTTCTAGACTCTTATAAGGAATGCTTTGTGTCTACTGGGAGTTCCAGACTCTACTAGGGAGCCTAACGTCCTGTGTCTACTAGGAGGTTCCAGACTCTTAAGGAATGCTTCGTTCCCATCTCTAACTGATGTGAGATTTCACCATCCCCCTTCCTCACTAGCACACCGTTTGGTGCCTAGCCATAATACCCTTAATAATAACCCAAGCCCACCGCAAGCAGATGTTGTCTGCTTTGGCCCCTTATGTATCTTCGTCCATGGTGCCTAGCTATAATACCATTAGTAATAACCCAAGCCCACCGCTAGTAGATGTTGTCTGCTTTGGCCCGTTACGTATCTTCGTCATCCTCAGGGTTTTAAAACGCCTCTACTAAGGAGAGGTTTCCATACCCTTCTAAAGAATGTTTCGTTTCTCTCCAACCGAGGTGAAATCTCACAGTAGGGGTGTTCATATGAAACAATAACCCAACCAACCTAAAGTACCCAACTCAATTTATAAAAGTTGGGTTGGATTAAACTTTTTTCCTAAAACGTTTAAGTTGGATTACAAATTTGAGTCGATTCATGGGTTGATATGTTTTTTTTTGTTGAGCCAACCCTACCAATCAAAAAATAAGAGTTCAAGCCTACTCTACTTTTAAGATTATTATAAAAATTAACAATATTTGCTAGTAATAAATTATGACTTGTGAATGTTTGATATTTAAACTTTGATAAGAACCCAACTGACAACCCAATTCCAAAATAAAAAATTGAGTTGGGTTAGGTTGAGAACTCTTTTCGAATTGCTTGGTCATCAACCCAACTAACCCAAAATTTCGAGTGAATAAAAAAAATAAAAATTCAACTCAACTTCATCGGTACACATCCCTTACAAAAACATTCATTGGATCACGTAATAAAATAGATATTTTATAAGGGTTTAGTACGACGTAGGACGTTACATCAGCGATATTGTAATTTGAAAATAAAGACATCATAAAACTAATTAAATATCATGCATGTGGAAAAGTCAACAATTCTACACACAAAAGGCCAATATTTTAGACCAAATTAATTTTTTTTTTTTAAAAAAAAATCTAATTCATATAGCAATTAACAAGTAGTCAACCTTGGATCCCATTGCCTAATTAATATCACCAATATATATATATATAACTTAAATAATTAGAAAATTTAATTTATCTCTTTAATACTACAATTAGAAATACCAAATATAAATGAGTGTTAAAAATGGTATTTATTTATAAAAAAAAACAAAAATTACATTTTTTTAAGGTAATTTAACGAATTGGCAAAAAGGAAAAATGTTGTGAAAATTACAAATTTCTACTTTACAAAAAAAAAAAAAAAAAAAAAAACTTAGCTAGAAAAATCAAAGAGATGGTTGAAAAGATTTGGTGAAGAAATTGGGGAAACCAGAGGAGCTGAAAACAGAGCAGAAGGGCTCGGCCAATGAGGGCTCAGCTCCTGAATTAACGAATACGGAAAATTTGGAAGCTCAGTCGCCGGCGAGAAAAAACCTGTCGGAATCGGAGCAAGACTCGCCGGAGCCGGAGATAGGATTCCGGGGGTTTGCCATAACTCCACCGAAATCTCCCCCAAATCCATCATCTCGCTAACGTCGATTTCTCTTTCTCTTTCTCTTTCCGGTCGGGGACTGGCCTTCTCGATTGCGGCCAGCCTCGCCGCTGGGGAGAGATCGCCGTCGGGGGCGGAGGCGCCGGAGGAAGAGAGTCCAGTGAGTCGTTGCACGACGGACATGAAGTTGTTCTCTGGGACGTGGATGACTTTAGGGGAGATGTCGTAGATGATGAGTGGCTGAGGCCATTGTGTGGCGCCGGCGCCGGGTGGGAGAGGTGGGCGTTCGGCTGGGGGAATCGGCTGAGGGTGTGGCGGCGGCTTCTTGATTTTGCGGGAATCTTGACTGACGCGGAGTTGCGGCGGGCGAGGACCCTGTAGCTGGATCTCCTTCTTTCTGGGGCTGCCGCCGGCGGGATATCCCGGCGGGTTCATGGCAGATCTGGCGGAGGCGAATCGGAAGGTGATCGGAGAAAATCGGGAATTTGGGTCAATTTTGGTGCTGTTTTGTATGGAATAATTGGAGGAGAGTTGAGGAATATCGTTGGGGGAATTAAATAATATTTTTTTTTTTGGTTTTTTTTTTTTTTTTTTTTATT